ACTCCTCTATACTTGGAGATATCGATCCTCAAGATTTCAGGACGACGCGTGTGTATCGTTCCACCCACATCATCATTGAATTACTGCTGTCTCAACAGCTCTGTCTGTCGATCACCGAGTTCTCCCAATTGCTCGGTCTGTTTAGAGCTTTGATAATGAAACAAGACTACATATTCTCTTTCGGCAAACAAGTTCATTTTGAGTGAATCTGGCTATAGCAAAATGTTGTTGGTCCCTGTCAAGGAACTTCAACATGGCGCTAACGGCGGGTTCGCCGGCGGTAGAGCTCATACGTCCTACCTTACTCTATTCGATGTCGCTCAAATGGTTATAGCCTTCACGCGTGGCGTGAAAACTTTCCTCCTAATTCAACATGGTTATGATAGATCTGATGGTCGTGGCCTTTAAACAGACTAAAAAGCGGGTTTAGGTGTAACGGAGCACGCTCTTACCAGATGACTGACAAGACCTTCTGTTGAGAGAGCACAAGGCTGCGTACTCCCGACTTCACATACACGTGGCGAGGAAGCGCAACGGAAGCCCACGCAGACAGATCCGTAAAGCTCTCTATGAGGTAAAAGTAGAACTGTATTTAATATAGTAATGTTTCATTAATAAACCATCTTTGTCTTCATCTGACTATACTAAACTACAATCTCCTATTTGGGCTTCTTGTTCACCACCCATTTCGCGGTTCTAGCAGCTATTGGCGATTAATTTATTTGATGTACCGTGTGCGTACAAAAAGTGTAGCGACCACGAATACTACCCTCGGGGGTACTATTCTGCCAGCACTGTCTCTATCCTAGTAATGTCAATGGAATATTATCAAAATAGATACTATTCAAAATTGATACATTCGTATCAATTTCTATGTAACGGGCTCACCCCTATACAATGACTCGTTCAAATTACGGTGGCCTTCCATTTTTTTTCATCTGTTCACATTTTGCCGATACTGACGTGGAATGGGCACCCTACTCTGCGGGGGACGGACACGCGTATGGAGGCGCAACTTTTGTCTCTAATTGCAGCCGTAGCATGTGAGCATTCAAGATCTTGACCCTTTACGTCTCCAACCTGTCGGTTTTAGACCTTACGCTTACGCCGTACCGCAGTGCGTACCCTTGCTCGTGTGAATGTGCATTGAGCCCTACGTTTGCCTCCTCTATGGTGCCATAGGTATATTCGTGTGGAGGCGCGAGAGAGTTCATTATCGTTTAGTTGCAAATGTAGGTGTCTTGCACATAACCGGATATAGTGTGATAAACGACGCGATGCAGGAGGCAAATGATTAGACACGTTTTCGCAGTCGATACGGGCGTATTGACATCATATAGAAATAGCCAATCATGTTGTGTCATTTCGATCAAAGGGGAATTGTACCGAAAAACTGAGGTGACATTTGCGGTTCCCTCAAGATTTTATACACATAATTTAGTGCCAATGACATGTAATAGGCATGCCTAGTTACACAAGATCTAAGCTTCGGACACCCACCAGAACACATCAAGTTCATTGAGTAATGTTACCTTCCCTTTGCGCATACAACTCTCTTCCGTCAGCACGTTCTGCACGTCTGACGCTTAGTCGTCTGACGACTCACGAAGACGAAGATGAATATCGATGTGCGACTTGTGTACCACTGAACTTTACTCGGGTCACCCCGGGATGTGCGCTATTCGATGATATCGTAGCGGCTTACGAGAATGGACCAGAGTACGCGGACATTAGCGCTTATCTGCGCGCTCCGAGTGATGTTGCATCGGGAGCTTTATCGCGAACGAAGCGTGTTCAAATTTAGCAATACATTTGAATTGGAGATTTGGTTTTAGTGACCACGTGTCTTTTCAACGTTGATAATGTGGTTGCGCCTCGATGCAAAGTCATTCTTTATACACACCATTATACACTGATGTTGTGTTGATAAGACACCAGCTCCGTGATGGATGAAGAGCTTGCGAATCTCACATATCTCATTTACCTGCGCAAAGGCTACTGTTGTGATGTAGACACTGCTAGTTAATGTCAATGCCCTCGCTTACACACATAGAAGACGTCGTTCTGGATGAGACGATCAGCAGCAGCTGAGGTAAGCGCAAGTCAATGCGAAGGTTCGTGATACCTGCAAAACGCAGTGCTCGCCGTCTATATCGTTATTGCTTGGTATGACAAACCCGGCCTAATATCGTTGAAGCTTGCAATGCTTGTCGATCCGTGCGCATGTGATTACTACCATACGCAGTTGACCGCTGTGCGAAGTGCGACGTGCTTGTCTGAAATCCCGATTGTAGAGTTCGCGTTGCATGGGATCCCACATCGGCTACACTCCTAACGTACTTACTGCGTTTGCATAGATACTCAATGTGTATCCCCCGTTGATACAGGAGCAAGCTTTGAATGCTCGCCCTTCGATACATGTGAATTATATCTATCGAGCTACCAGACACCATTTGGAATATTACACCCTTTTGTTGTTGATGGAGCAACATGTTGTTGTTGCTTATGTACTGAGAGGAGTATCATAGCAAATTATATCGGCGGCTAAACTTGATTGTAAAAACAACAACACCACCACCAACAACAACACCAACAACACCACGACCACCACCACCATCACCAACAACAACACCACGACCAACACCACCACCAACAACACCAACACCACCAACAACAACACCACCAACAACAACATGGACGACGATAGCAACAACGACAACACCACCGACAACAACATGGACGACGATAGCAACAACGACAGCACCACCGACAACAACACTTCAACAACGACAGCAAGAAGAACCACAAAAACAACAGTAACAACAGCAGCAGCAATGTGCGATTGATGACATGAGACGAATTGTTGGAATAAGACATGGTTTAGAAGCTTTGTCTGCTGCCACGCAAGAAGCTTGACCATTTTTACTTTTTTGTATGCTTTCTTCTCATCTGCTCTACCCAAACAACGATCTGCTTGTCGATATTGCCGTATCACAGTAACTCCGTTGTTAATTGGCAGGCGAGTCCTCTTTCGGCGCTCAACCTTGAGCCGCAGCACATCCGCTGCCTCTCGAGTCCTCCATGTATACTAATCTTTACCGCAACATCCACTGTGCCGCGGTTTAAGCGTGCTCATCTTCAAGAGCCATTTTTTGATTCGCGTCTAGTTCCCATGGGTGTGGTGTCACGCAGAAAAGTAGAAACGAAAACGACAAGGGTGTAGAGTATGTCAAACAGCCAAAGCCAACTCACTTGCTGCTGTACGTTCCCAACGAGCAAATTTGTAGCGGTCGCATCCGACAAGAAAGTACGCTTAGCGCGAGAACTCTATGCACGACGCCTATTTGTACGACGGTCGTTACTCTTGATGTCTCGGCAAACTTTAGCAAGTACACAGTATCAGCCCACTTCTCGTTTGGCAACTGGTGCTGGAGTCGCTGTTTATTTCGGATGATTGTAGGAGTGATGCTAAGTTCGTGGTGCTGACGTTATAGTAATCGAGGTGCTAGACATTCACTGTCCTAAGCATCGATCATTGATCGTTTGCGCCGTTCGCGTTCGACCTCTTTCTGCCAACGACGTCGTGTGCGTGCGTGACCATTACATATAGACGAACAGAAAGGGCCTGCCGAGAACGTCGGCTTTCGCCTTACGCACACTTGCTAAGAGCTTCGCTGCTTGGGCTTGCAAATATACAAACGACCCCCTGTGTTTCCGTTATAGCCTCAAAAAAAGGCAACAAACTAGACCACATGCACTGTCGTCGGTACATGAGATGCCATACGCACAGAGTCGACGGTTTCGCATCTAAACACCTTTGGCATGTACACGAGACCCATCACACCTTACACGAGTCTGCCGACACGGCAACGCTGCAGTGTCCTTCTGCACGAATGCGTCTCTACTTTTTGAATGATGATGGCCATGTTGTGTTCAGCATACTGCTGCGAACAGTGACAAGGAACAAGCCACTGTCGTCAAGCATGATGGCTATAGGGCTTCTTCCACGCTTCTACAAGACTGTTTCGTTCCAGAAGGCGATCAGAGCATCTTTACTTCTGCTCCATCTGTGCGGTAGAAAAGAGGACGTCGCGTTGACAAAGTATCGAATAGCCTTTGTCGCGCTGGATGTCTGTCATCCACGTCGTCGTCCTAACAGCGGTTTCGTCATGTTACTGAACTTACGAGCGCAGCCAAACTTTTTTTTGGCATGTGCGTGCGACTTCCTTACGTCACAAATTGTGAGCTGGCGATCAAATTGATCGGCAAGTCGTTCAAACAGTCGCACGTCTTTTACTGAACCGCTCACTTTTTCGCAACGTCGTGGCGTCCAGTTGCCTGAGCTGTCGTGCTCTCTCTAACGAAGGTAAAGTTCAAGATGCGTTCCTCAAATCCGCCTCATGGATGGGTCGCCTGATGTGATTTGTGCAACAGACGGCAGTACGTGCGGGGACGCACCACGCAACTCTCTCTGCTCCCGGCGACGGCTTGGCCCTGGACGTACCCATACTGTCGCAGGTTGTGGCTCTGAAAGTTAGGGATATGTTTGTTGCGCAGCTTGTTGAAGACCAGAACAGTCAGAGCAGTAACCCGTGACGAGCATGTAAAAACATGCCCCATCGTCCTCGAAGCGCTACATATACCGACGATACAGGCGGGTCAAGCGACGCTTGCGAGCTCTATGGCCGAAGAACGAGGCAGCTCGAAACGAACGCCATCCCGTTGCGTACGGAGATAGTTGGCTTTGTATGTTCTTTCTACATACTTGAAGTCGTTCCTTGCTCCCGTCTGATCGTGTCGCGATGTCTGACCAGGACCCACAACAACACGACCAGCACGTATCATGTGTGCAACTCCCCAACATGCAGTCACGCAGCGTCTTTCCGCTACGTGATGTCGTGCTGGAGCCGAATGCACACAAACCCTTCCTCCCATTCCGCTATTTTCCTCGCCACGAACACTTCCTTTCCCCGCGACATTCTCGATTCGATCAGAGGCTCATGTGGCGTCGAATTGGTCTTGTGTGTGCGCTGCTAGGCGCCACTGCTAGCGCCTATAGCAGCAGCAACTACCGAATGAAGCCTGTCAAGGTTATCCACGCCCGCATCCAAGGGGACGCTCCTGTGTGGTACCCGCAGGTGGGCAGATGGCTTTCCAAGTACGGAGACACGCCGGACGCTGCTTACAAGAACAACCTCGACACTGTCAACACGGCGTCCGTCGAAGGCGCTTTGATGTACGTCCAGGCTGAAGGCATCAACGTGAACGAGCAGTCGGTCAAGTGTCAGCGCAAGAACAACATGCAGTACGTCGTGTTTTACGAAATGACGATCGTGCAGCCTACGCGTAGCATCAAGTTCTACGAAAACCACACGCCCCCTGAGTATGGTGACTTTGTTGCGATGGACGGTGCCAAGTGCACGAACGCAGGCGCAGACTTACCCTTGAGCTGCAAAAGGTTCTATGGCCTCGATGGTAATCCGAACATCGGTGCCAACGTTGGGTGCAACCCGCAGGGGTCGGACCCGCGAGCACCTTACCCTGGCAACTACTGGTGCTCGTTCCCGAACTCGTGTGCTCAGAAATATCGGGCACAGAAGACTCCCGAGTGCAGAGGCCAGTTCTCTGGTGGCCTTTGCCCAATGGGAGTCCAGCCTGACGGCGTGACGTGCACATATGGCTACAGGATCCTGGGTTTCCTGAACATCGACGACCTGGTTGGTATTACCAGGATGGGTCATGCCACCTACAAGCAGTTTTGCGAGAACGGCGGCGTAGAGTTTAAGGCCAGGAATACTGGTAGGGGGTTTGAGGTGGAGCAGAGCATTGAGTTTTGGAAGAATCCCGGTGATCCGAACGCCAACTCGAACCGAGCTGCACAAATGGTCGGTATGTACAATCACTTGGCCAGCAACGGCATTAGCGCGAACATGATCCCGCTACCCAGTGTGGAGAGTCTCACTGCGACCAACCCAAAGTGCTACGAAAACAGCGCGGCGTGTGCGGGTGCGCGATTCGGATGCAGACGCTCGCTGTTGTCGCAGATCTGTTCAGTGTGTCATGCCGAGGGACCTGGCTGCGTGAAGGCTCCCGCGGGCTATTCGTTCCCGAATCTTTCGCTTCGTTAGACCGGAAGCAGCTGGTGCGTCAGCGGTCACACCTACGGCAAAAGGGTTCGCTCGCTGAAGTTCGTCCATGGTTTGTTCAGCTGGTGCCAACACTTTCCATGTCAACAGTCCGGTGTAGAAATTGTAAGTTTAATGGAAGGTGAAACTACTGTATTGCGATGTTCATCTCGGTATGAAATTTGTTGCGTTGGACAAAGAGTCGATAGCCGATGTTTCTTATCAATAGGTTGTGCGTAATCTAGGCAAGTGGATCCACAGTCGCCTCGATCCGAGTGTGGGTGGTCAATCTTTTTACATTATCCGCAGATTTCCATGTCGTCCGTCGCATGTCGCGTACCGTTCCGACCACGTCTAGTTTTACCCGCCCATGCGTTGTCTATGCAGGTACGTAAAATATCTGTAACTGCCTCTCTCGATTCATGCTGTTGCAGTAGCATTCTGTTCTTGTCAAAATTGCACACCCTTCCTACTTGCTTGCGTGTTGCTACCAGTATTTGTGTACAAGCGTCGCTAGCAAACCAACATCTCAAGCAGCATTTTCTGGCAACCGGTTGTCTGCAGCTTGAACAGCGTGCAATAGTTTTTTTTGTTTCTCTCTTCACCGTATACTAACCGCCATGAGGGAGATCTGGTGAGCGATACAAGAGCCAATTCTACTTCCTCACGGTCGTTCATTGTTCACATGCGCCACATCACCTTGTCAGATGCGTGAACAGCTCGCGTAGTCACTACAATGTTCTACGTTGCTGCTGTTTGATAACATGCATATGATCGTTCAGTACTGAAATATATTTTTACACGTGCAGGAAACGCGTTTGTAAGTTATAAGTGCACTGATGAAGTTACTGTGTTGAATGAAAAACGACAACAATCTCCTTTCGCCTTCATGATGACAGCTGGTAGATCGTAAAGTCGATCGTAGATTGAGCTGTACGTTAATGTGACGTGATAGTGCGGACTTAAAGTGCGATGCCTTGTTTAGCCTTCTTCGTCTATCATCTCAAGCCACATCGGAAAAGGCGATACCTTGATAAGCAGCTCGAATGGCTCAACACTGTGTGTAACGGGGTTACATGTCCGCTGGTAGTCGACAATAGGTGTGGTGCTCACAAGGGATGGGGCTCCCCTTAAACGATAGCAGAACACAGTATCAATTGTTGAAGACTGATGTCTGTCAACCATTGATTACGAGATCTTCTGAGAGGTTTTATTTAGGACATTAGCGAGTAGGTTAATTACGTTGTTCTAAGGTGTTCCTTTAGGTTAAAAGAAGAAATGAAGTTCAGCTCTCCTTTCGATCACTGAAAGGCACGTGCCTTACGAGGCGTCTTTGATCGGTAGGAGCTAGCAATACCTGTAAAGGTAGCTGCTCCTGAGCACTCTGTGATGTGATTATTTTGAATCGTTGGGTCCCCCTCAAACAGGGACCGTAAGCTATCGAGCTTTTTGAATCTCTGATTCGGGTTCGTAAAACCAAAGATGTCCGTAGAGCGTTAAGTCTTCCTCTGACTTAATGAGCTGTGCAGCTCCGCTACACTTGGTAGCACTTGTAGTCAATCTACGCCTGGGTCGTAACGACTGATCCTCTGTGAGTATGGGGCTATCCAATCCCCTCTCTATGGCTCAAAAGGTCGCGCTTAAGAAGCTGACCGCGGCCGTAGGCCCTTAGTATGTGGATTTTCTAGCTGCACAAGGTCCCGATGTGCTCCATGCACGAGTCGAGGCCTTCATGCAGAATGAAACGGACTTTTAGGGAAGGTTCAAAACCAAGTCGCGTCGGCTATGCCGACACGCTACGTGGTAATGCCACCAGAAGAGGCTAAGCCTCGTCTCCTTCAGGTAGACGTTAAACATTACATCGGGAATGAGGGGAAAACCTCACCCTCTGGATCCGTGAGATTGGGATGGCCATGAACTCTGGCCTTATCTTACTAGAGTAGAGCGGGTCTAGCTGCCTATCTTCAAGCTCGATGGAAGAGCTAGAGAGTGGGCTCTGACGTGTGCACGTCTGTCGACTTGGCGTTTCCCACATTGGATTCGCTTAAGTTAGACCTTTTGTGAGTTTTCTCGCCGCCTAACCAGGCTTATCACGTGCGCTCACGCTTTTCGTCTATCCGTCATGGTAAGAATGAGTTAACGGATTTTGTCCAAGAGTTGAGAACTATGATGGCTGCTTAGCAGTCTGAATCTCTCCCTGAGACAGTTCGCGTGACTGTCTTCATGGAAGGTCTTCGTAATGGCGTCGCCAGGACCGAGGTGTTTCGGGTCCATCCCTCTACTTTTGAGGAAGTTGTTAGCATCGCTCAAAATGCTGAGCACAGCTTAAAGTTGGCCAGACTTGGTTGGTATGGGTGCAACATAAGTTTTGCGAGGGCATCCTCTGCGAGTACCTCGGTTTACTGTAAGATTGAACCAATGGATATCAGCCATGCTGAAGATAAAGGTGAAGCGGAGCTACATGTTGCATAGCAACGACAGGAAGTGAGACGCTGTTACATGTGCGGAAGCACTGGACACTTGCGTCCCACTTGTCTTTTGCGTAAGCAGCGACAGACTCCTATAAGTCGAAACCCCAGCCACAACCAGAAATCTGATAAGGCACGGGGAAACGTCGACACCCAGTAGTCGCGGGGCGCCCTATTGGGGAAGAACTGAGTTATGTTACTTCTCTAGGAGGTAGAGTAAAACAGGGCTTAGCCTCACTGAACTCTTTGCCCGCCAGCACAGAGCGTGGATACAAGCCTGGCTTGTTAGTCGCCGAGGCGAAAGTTAAAGGCTTTGAGAAGCATTGGTCGATCCTAATCGACTCCGGAGCATCATGCAATTATGCTCGACGTCGTTCCCTTGAGGGAAGTCAGCGATATGCTGAAGCGCTCAAAGCGCATGAAGGTGATTCAATCACCGTTCGTTTAGCGACTGGTAGTCGCGTCACGGGGCCTAAAGTTCCGTTGAACTTAGGTTCGAAGTTCTTGGACTTTGATAGCATTGAATGCTGTCTTGTCCTCGATTTGGATTCGAGATATGATCTCATCCTACGTATGGCTTGGCTTGAATGCCATGAGACATGGATTGATTGGAGGTATAAGACCTTAGACGCCACGCGCAATGTTCCCAGCGAAGCTTCGGAGAGTCATGTAATTACCTTCGCTATGCAACAAAAGCGCTATTGGAGCGAGCCATTGACAGAAGATGTATATGTGCTATACATTGGTATGTCAGAGTTAGTTAACTCCAATGTCAATTACATTCATATTGAGTGGAGCTCTTTCACCGTATGTGAAGAGGATTGTACTCCATTAAGTGATACTCGTTGTGAAACTGAGTCATTGCATGCTGCAGGCATGGTTAGCCTAGGGCCGAGTCATCAAGAATATAATTCCTCTGATGTGAGTGGGCGATACGTCAAATTTCACCGAGTTAGGGCGGCCGAGATGGCACCTCACTGAATGTCGCTAATGACATTGTTGGCGAAAAGACAGAGTGTTCAGCGCTAGGCCCGGATGCTGTAAGTGAAGTGGTATGTGTAAATCCACTGGGCGAAGTGTTCGGGTTACGCAACTCTTCACCAGATGTCGTTCAAGACATGAGCGCTCGTATAGAGCGTGCTAAGATAAATAAAAACCACGGGGACCCAGCTATCCCGGCTTCTAGGGGGCGTAAGGTTTCTTTGGGGAAACAATCCCAGCGTCGGGTGGCAACTGTTAAGCGCTCAACGTCTAAGAAGTTACGAAGTGACAATAGTAATAATACACTATATACACTTGCCAATGGATTGAATGGCCATGTTGATGGCAATATTAGTCTAAGACCCTTCCATCCTTGGATACTCTCTTTGACCTAGACGAAATGTCTGACGGCGAAATTAGTTAAGCCTTGCAGGCAGGAGAATTATCCGAGTTGGTGGTCGTTCGGCCGGATATTGAGTTGAACTCATCCTCGTTATTGGTCGAGTCTGTCCTTGAGGACACAAGGGTGGCACTGGATGCCCGTAGTGGATCTTCGATCCTTAATGACCCTCTTGATCCGTTCGATCCTTCGGTAAAGGAGTTTCAGGACGTGGTGTGTCACAACCCACCGTCCGTCTTACCTCACGATAGTGGTGTACGTCATGAAATTGACTTGGTTCCTGGAACTAAATACTGCGTAACACGGCATTGGCCTTAACCGAAGGAACAGTGTGGCGTCATTGACGACTTCTTTCGTGCAAAGCACGCGGTAGGAGCGGTACGTGGGAGCAAATCTTCCCATTCCACACCAACCTTATGTGAAAAAAAGCCCAATGGGAATTGGCGCATTGTTCATGCTTCCAATAGGCTTAATGCGGCCACCATCCCGGATCATACACCAATTTGAGGAAGGAAGTTTACCAGAACAATATGGTGGTATGTACAATGTACAGTGCGCTCGACTTAGTCGATGGTTAGTATCAACTGCTCATGCGAGAGAACGATATTCCGCTGCCAGCGGTCAGCATTTCAAGCGGTATGCTCTGGGAGTGGCTTGTTATGCCGCAAGGGGCACTAAATGCCCGGCTACATTCAATCGTCTTGTGACACAATTTTTCAGACCTCACCGAGATTCTGCACAGACGTACTTTGATGACATCTTTGTCCATATTCGTGGTGTGAACGGTTGGTCAGATGTGGACAATCACATTGACCATTTACAAGCGGTGCTTGAGTGCATGCGCACGAATAAGTTGTACGCCAACGCGTCTAAGTGCATCTTTGGTGCAGAAGATATTTCCTTTTTAGGGTACTTTATTGGTAAGCGAGGCCTTAAAGCGTTCCCGCTTAAGTAAAAGCCATATTCGATTGGCCTGTTTCAAAGAATCAAAAGGATATACGTAAGTGTCTTGGCCTTTCCAATTACTTACAAAAGTAAAGTGCGAACTATGTGGACATGGCTCGGCCATTATCCAATCTCCGTCAAAATGATGTGGAATGGTGCTGTACTAGCACACAGCATGATGCTTTTCAAGCAGTAAAAAATTATTTTTC